CTATTTGGACATGGTCTCTTGGACGCCATGAACATTAATACTTTTACATTCTGCCGTGAGCCTAAGAAGTAAGCCGTTAAACTCTTAGCTGTTTTTATTCCAATGTGTGCCCAACGTACCCTCACCCTGTGCCTGAGCCACACCCCCTCCCAGGCAGGAGTAAAGATGGCCCAGGGGTCAAGCATGGGAAAGGGGCTGGACCTAAGGCACTGAGATTTAGAGGACCCGAAAATTGTAAATAATGATTTTGAAAGCTTAACATCTATTTAGCAAGAGTAATGGTTTAAAGTGGGAAACCGCCAGATGGTATGCACTGTTAATAATGCCCATCTGTGAGCCATATCATGAATTATAAAATTGATTTGGAGGAGAACATCTCCTGCTGTTTGCCCCAGGTGCCAAAATGTCTCCTTATAGCTCTGGGGGTCAGGTACAGGGTAAGCAGACTGAGGTGCATATTGCTTAAAAATAATACTGTGTAATATTTTTACCTAATAACAAGACAAAACCTGACTGCTAATTTTTTTTAAGGTTGAGAAGTATTTGCAGCATTCAGAGGACCACGTCGGAACTTCTTGCTTTACACACAAGCCGGGAGCATGGGGATGCTATAGGCAGAGCCCCTCTCTCCAATGATCTGATCAACTTTTGACCTTCTGCCCTGGTTCTGGGGATCCTGGTTTCTGAACCCCTGGACCCTCACCTGGGCTCCTGACAAGGGCCTCAGATTCTCTTGCATTAAACACCAGTTTGCTCTTGCTTCTCCCCCTGGACCCTGCAAACTCTCCCCATCTGACGTCACAGCTGCAGATAACAGGTGTTCCCATTTCTCTCCTTGGTCCTCCTTAGTCACCTGGATGCATGCCTAGCTTGAATGATTCTATTTCCCAACCCCTTGAGCACATTCTTTCCCCTACTTTCTGTCTCACCTGGAGTAAATGTCCTCCGCTGCTCCCCACAAAGCTCTAACTCTACACTTTCCCTGTGAAGACTCTTGACTATCTCTAGCCACGAAGGTCTTCCTAGAATCCCTGTAGGTAGAGCACCCACCTGATTATATTTTGCCTTATGCTGCCCTCAGTTATCTTCACTTGTGCTTATCTTGTCTCTCAAATAGGTCGGAAAATCTCCTGACACCCATGCCTCCTGTCTTTGCACCTTCTCCCAAGGTGCATCTGAGCCATAGCTGGGAAGACAGAGAAGCTTAATTACCCCTATTCCCTGTTTAATGCATCTTGTCCCATGATGTAAGTTTTCCTTCACCTTCACAGCGCATTGGAATCACCTGGGGAACTTTAAAATATGTAGATTCCCAGGCCCTACGCCCAGAGATTCCGTTTCAGTTGGTCTAGAATGGAGCCCACTTTGGGGTGTTTGAAATCTCCGCCAGTGATTCTAACGTACAGCTGAGAGTGGGCACCACAGCACTGTATGAACTGGGATGATGGTCCTCAGCTGTATTGAGTTCCCTAGGCCGCTCAGTTTGTCTTCTGGCTGCACTTTCTCCATATTTCAAATTATATCTTACAAGTTAAATTGCCACCCTCAGCTCCCTTCCGATAGAACCTACAAGGAATAGTCTTTAGGCAAGTGAAAACTTTCTGCCATTACCTCACTGGGCAGAAAGTCAAGCTGTAAAAAACCAGCCAAGTAGTTGCCTTCAGAATGAGCCACTCATTAATCAATGAGCTGTCCTCCAAGCACCTGCGTGAAGCCAGCGGTCACCATTTGTGACATCCTACTTCCTTCCCCCAAGTAAATCAGACGGGGGAGCTAGCAAACAAAAAAGACTAAAGGTGCTTCTACGTATTGAGGTCACCAATAAGTAATGATAAGAGAACAGAAAAGGGGGGAAAAACAGGGATGATGAATTAATGAGGCTATTATGACAAAATGATTTAATGGCAAATACGTGCAACTGAATTAATGAGGCTTTGATGGCATTTCCAAGTTTCATTTCCCTTGAGTATCTCGGTGAATCCAGTATCTCCCAGAAAACTTGTAAGAATATTCTGTTTTGAAGACTTTCTGCTAACAAGACAAGAAAAGCAACCTTGAGGAATATTTTTCTAATTCACCTCTTTCCGGCTTACTGCAGTTTTAATTACTGGTGAAATAAAACCATGGGGTGAAAAGGGAAAAAACCAACAACCCACAGAACTCTTGAGCAGCCTAGGTGCTTTTAAATGTAAATTTCGTAAGACGGTTAAAACAAAGAAGAAAAGGAAACCCTGAGGATGTAGACACTATATTAAGAGATATTCTCTAAATTATGTTTTTCAAAATTATCCATCAAGCACCAGTAAGTTTTTAAACACTCATCAGATTCATTTTCTAAGTAATTGCTTTAGAAGGAGCTCTCTTCACCTATCTAGAACCAGGAGCGCTCTTGTACTTTGTTATAAGCTATGGAGCTGCTTTACTGAGCATCTATTACTTCAGCTTTCTCTCTGCAATACAGTTGAACTGGACTCTAGAATTTAATAATCTCCTTCTGCATCTACCCAATCACTCTACGGAAGCACAATTTTCTTTACATGAATCTCTGGTATTGAATGGGTTCCTTTTTTTCCTTGGAAATCATTTGCAACATTATTTCTATCAAAATTTGCCTTTTTTCTTTTACAGGGGAGCCCACTAGGTGACACACACTCTGCTCACACACCCAGAGTTTTCACACCTCTTAATTCCTCCCTCTAAAATATGAACAGAAGCCAAGGATCACCAAAATTGAGAAAACCTCCAATATGAAAGAAAGTGACACAAAAACAAATACACAGAGTGAAAGAATGTAGCTCAATGAAAGGTAATGAAGAGAGCAGGAAAAAAACAAAACAAAACACTGAAACAATTAGAATTCATATCCCTCAGGAGGAAAGAAAAGCTACTGCATCCACTAAAACAAATCAAACCCAGGGAAAAGGATACAATCAAATCGCAAGAAAGAGCTCATAGAAATAAAATACATGATAGCCCAAGTGAAAAATTCCAGTGAAGGATGGGATGATAAAGTCACAGAAACCTACTACAAGTAGAACAGAAAGAAACAAATAAAAATGAAAGAGAAAAAAATAAGAAATGACCCTGGAGGTCCAACAGCCACCTCTAATCCAGAAAGGGAAAACAAGGGGCGCATGGTGGGGAAAAGGAGGAAATTATACAAAAATTATTCAGAACTGATGGATATGAGTTTTAGATGAAAAGGGATGGGGGCGCCTGGGTGGTTCAGTAGGTTAAGCGTCTGCCTTCTGCTCAGGTCACAGTTCCAGGGTCTTGGGATCGAGCCCACATTGGGCTCCTTGCTCCACGGGGAGCCTGTTTCTCCTCCTTCTCCCTCTGCTTGCTGCTCCCCCCGCTTGTGCACGCACTTGCACTCTCTCTCTCTGTCAAATAAATAAATAAAATCTTCTAAAAAATTTTTAAAAAAAGAAAGAAAGAAAAGGGATGGACCCCAGCAAGTCAATCATAGTGATAGGGGTTGGAGACAAACCAAGGCAAATCATTTAAAAATTCTAGAACACCAGGGTTAAGAAAACATCTTAAAGCTTCTGGTGATTATTTCTCTCAAGTTCACATTCAGTGGAACAGGAATGAAAATGGCTCCAGGTTTATCAACAGCAGTGTTAGATACTGGGAGACAATGGAGAAATGCCATCAACATTCTAAGAAGACTCAAAAATTTAACTCTTATCCACACTTCCTTAGGAAAGTACCAAAAAAAAAAAAAATACATATACCAGCAGAAATAGGAAATGAACTAAGAAATAAGAAGTCACTGAATCAAAGAAGCAAGGGACCATAAGAGAATGGTAATAGGAAGTCCCAGAAAGAGGAAGAAGGGAAGTCCAAGGCCAATATCAGTGGCCAGATTGGAGTGGTCAGAGGTCCTGGAAGTTCTCCAGAAAACAAACATAAAAAAGAATTTCTAAAATGGAGGTTCCAATTGACATTCCCCTTAGTAATGATTGAGAGTTCTAGTTGTTCCATATCCCTGCTAACACTCGATACTACCAGTTTTGGGGTTTTTTGTTGTTGTTGTTGTTTGTTTGTTTGTTTGTTTTAGCCAACTGAGGGATGTGTACTGGTATCTCATTATGGCTTTTATTATAATTTCTCTGATGACCGATGATATTTGGCACCTTTTCATTTGGTTATCAATCATTTAGGTATCTTTTTTTTTGCCTGTGTAAGCATTTTGTCTATCTTTTAAATGATGTTGTCTTCTTCTTTTTTTTTAATCTATAGGATTTCTCTTATGTATTTTGGATATGAGTCCTCTGTCAGGTTTGTCTTTATACTCTGTTCAAGGTATCTTTTGATGAATAGAAGCTATTTATAAAGTGCAACTTATCAGTCTTTTCCTTTAGGATTAGTATTTTTCAATATCCTGTTAGTTTTGGAGTTTTCATCCCAAACTGGGATTATTCTGTACATACTTTTTATAGAATTTTTAAAATTTACTAATATATTACAAAGCATTTGACCTCATAATATTTCTTCAAGAGCACTATTTAAAATGGGTGCATAATATTCCATGGTATGGGTATATCATTCCTTATGGAACTCAACATTTACTCTTGTATATTTAGATTGATTTAGAGCATTATTTAAATAAAATTATAAAGTTAATGAGCGCATTACAAATTAGAAACTAGAGATTTCAAATACAAGTTTGACTAATTCCGATCTTCATTACCCAATGAGTACATATGGAGACCTAATGTTTCCTCAACATTATTCTGGAGGATACAAAAGAAAACCTGAGAGGAGACCTGTCCCTAAGGAGCTGACAATATATTTGGTGGCCAGACACTTCACCTGTTTAGCACTTAAGGAATAATTGATAGCTCAACTGTTACTAACTATATATGGAATAGGAAGGAGGTTGGGGTGGAGGGAAAGCAACAAGAGGATAGGCTAGAATACTTGGCTTCAGGGAAGAAATGGGTCTTAAATCTTCTTCCCGTGTGGGGGGCTGAGCATTCCACAGTGCAGGCAGGGAGCGCATAGGCGAAGGTGTGGAATCAGGAACAAGCAGTGCGTGGCTGAGTGACAGAGGCATTACTCCAGATTGAAAGTAAGAGTAAGTGTTGATTCGTTGTAAGAAATAAGAACGGATCATTAGGATGAAACCGCGTTGGTGAGGGCTTCGAGATGTGGATTTTGGATTTCATTCCATTGGCAATAGATCCACAGTAGGGGGGAGGGGGGTGAGGAGATGGGATGGGTATGCAGTTGGGAGCCAGGCCAACAAATCGCAGTTTCATTAAGCTTCTTTAGTTTAGTGGTGGGGTGGGGAGAGTGGAGTCAGAAGGACAGATTTAAGTCTATAGGAATAATCCAAGGGCCAGGTGATATTATCTTAAAAATTTACAGCTAATACAAGTTGTAAAAGAAACAGAAAACTGGATATTTGCCTCCATGGTCTCTTGTCTGATTCTAACTATTAACCTGAGTTAGTTTTTTAAATGTCATTTCAAAAAGAAACAAAGTATCTTCACAATAATTATTGAGACATCACCAACGAGTGTCCTCTCTAATAAACTTCTCTATACACAAGAATAGTTATGATTCTATCTCTTCCTGGAAAATGAGAAAATAAGATTTATTGAACAGTGCTTTTATGCTTCACTTCCATAGAGAAGCATTAGAACATAATGGTCTGGGTTCAAATTTCAGCAATGCCATGTGAGAGAAGTCACCGAACCTCTCTAAAGTTGTTTCCTCATCTGTAAAATAGGGCTAATAATAATTAGAAAAATATGTACCACATAATAAATGTTTGTTCTTATCCTGGTCTGTGAAGTAGATGTTACTATCTTTATAGATTCATTAATTAAAATATCGGCTGCATAGAGCCAATTTATAGTGGAAAGAATCCTGCTATTTATTATAGTGGCAAATAAGGAGTTAAGGGATACTGTAAGTAAAAATTAAGTAATGGACATTGGGAAATTTAATCAAAGATGCTAAGGACAAAGCACCCACTCCTTGGCTTTGCATCTATTATAACTATAGCATTATTAATAGTAATTAAGTGCTTGGTTTCTACAGAGCCTAGGACTTAGGAACAAAGCCAAGTGACATATGTATATATTTATTTAATGGTGGGAGAGCCGGCACATTTGGCGACAGGCGCGGTGTTCCACTCAGTGGGATGGAATGCATGCCTCATGCCAGCCTCTTTAGAGGGACTGTTATTCATCACAGCTGTAACGTTCCCTTCAGAGAGCTCCCACCGGAATGGAAAAGGCGCACTGGCAATTTATATACAAAAGCCAACCCACGTTTGGCTTTGAAAATTCACTGGGAAAACTGTATGCAGTCTGTTAGTTATTCATGGACATGCTCTGGTTTCTGATGGAAGCGCTGTGGTTCCATTTATTATCATCACAGTAAAATTAGAAAGCAGCAAAGAAAAATTCAAGGACCGGCACGTAGACATCTTCTAGCCAACAAATCATTATGGGTGCAAGGTATCACGGTTCAATTGCTGTGCAAAAATAATCATAATTCACACAGCCCCGTGTTTGGAGTGCGTACCCGGCCTTTGCCCTGACTGTCCAGCCCTGCCCCCACCTTTCTTTGGTGAAATTACATCCTCTCCCCTGGGAACACGCAACACGCCCTGTAAAGACTATGGATTTGGCATGCACTAACACCCTGCCTCCCAAAGCAGTGCCATTTATGAAAACTATATCGAAAGTCTTTTAATATCTAATGAAGTGGTATAACCGAAAATATAGATGTTCAAATTACCTTACAGTTGAATCTTGATGCAAAAGGAATATTGCTGGGGCACCTGACTGACTCCGTCAGTAGAGCATGTGACACTTAGTCTCAGAGTCTTGAGTTCGAGCCCCACGTTGGGTGTGGAGCCTACTTAAAATAAAATTAAATTAAAAATTTTTTAAAAAGGAATATTGTCTCCAGTTAAGCTTACGGCCAGAATAGTTTCCCACCCCTTAGTTGGATAGGTGCCTCAATTTAGACATCAAGATTTCTCCCCAAATTACATATTATCTCACATCTACAGAGGGATGATACGCTATTCTAAAAGTGCATTCACGGGTACTATCACATCTGATCTTCACAAGAAAGGAGAGAGGCAAGTGTTACAATGCCTTTTATCGGTGCAGGCTCTGAAGTCCAGGAAGATGAACTAATTTAGCCCAAAGCTCACAACCAGGAGGCACAGAGGAGGGGTTCCAAACCCAGTGCCCAGTACCTTCTGCTATTTTCCTGAACTATGTTTTGCAAGGGAAAAAAGGCTTGGTCTCCTACAAAGATGAGTTAAATCTTTAAATGATAAGTAATAAAAATAAGTTTCGTTTAGTCTCATCCAGGAAAGCAAGCATGATCCCGGATTGCTTATGTACAGAATATATAAGAAATACGATGCTGCCATGTTATAGGTTGATTTTTCCCCATGGGATCAGTTCTGTACTCATTTTAGTTCAACCAATTTTGAACTGAATAACCACTATGTACCAAGCAATGTGCTAGACACCAAAGACATAAAGGATCAAGTTCCAGCCCTCGTCCTGACAGTCCTCATGGAGATAGACAAGCAAACAGATAACAACCCACAGTATTTTAAATGCTGTGATAAAAAGGGATGCACAGGTTGCCAGGGAAGCCCAGAGGAGGAGCTGGGTGTGCCAATTCAGGAAGATTTTCTGCAGAAAGAAACATCTAAGATTAGTTTTGAAGGATGTACAAGAGTTCTCCAAGCAAAGAAGAGGGGACGGGAATTCTGGTAACGTTCAGAGACATCGAGATACAAGGCAACAAACAGGAATAAATACAGTTTCTGCTGAGGGACACAGGAAAAAGAGAAGAGATCATTTTAAAAGGGAACGGCACCTAATCATAATGATAGCTAATGCGCTCCTGGAGCTTGCCAGGCGAGGCTCGAAGGACTTCACGCATGCATACAAACGCATTTAAGCCTCATAACCTACCCTGGGAGGTAGGCGCACTTATCTTCCCTAATTTTACAAACGGGCAACTGAGGTAAAAAATATTAAGCAACTTGGCCAGTATTCCATGGCCCATAGAATTTCTAATGGCTTTTGACACTTTCTGTACTGGCTTTCAAAACTGTTTGCGGGGGAGGAAGAAGAAGAGGAGGATGAGGACGGAGAGGAAGTGGGAGGAGGAGGGGGAGGAGACCTAGAAAGTTTCTAGAGAGAGAAACAGAGATGAGCAAAATTGGGGGAAACATGTAAATTTTAGAAAAAAATTAAACCAATTGAGGGGTTTATTCTGGAGAAATGGGTTGAGAAGGCAGGCAGTATGAAGGAAATGATCCTCAACATTATCAAGGAGCCTCTAAATTAAACTCAAGTAAGAATTTTCTACTGATCAGAAGTAAGCCATGTTAGACCTGCATCAGCCAGGGCCTTGTCAACCATCCTTCATGCAGGCTGTGCTCCTCGTAAACATTTTGACTGGTCAGGACCCTGCCAGGTTACCAGGGCAGCATGAGAAAGGCACTGTGAGTCTGCTGGAATGCATAAGCCCTTTGAATGCACATGTTCAATAAATATTGACTGATAACAACTCCTATTTACCGCTAAAACTAAGATTAGTAAACTTAATTGGAAACACATTTAATGTTAGCATGGTTGTTATGATTCATGGCTAACAGGTAAAAAGTAAAGTAAAAGTCAAGTTTTACGCATTCTCGCTTCTCTTTCTTAAGGACTTTGGTGTAGATAAGCTGTCACTTGCTATTAAAAGTTCAAAGTCACATTTGCAGTCACTTCTGGCAAGGAAGAAAGAACTCTGTGGTATGTATTTTAATTGCTAATCTTGCTCTCTCATGTTATCTTATTTTTTCAATGCTTATTTCCTCTCCATATCCACTCTTTCCTTTTTAGAAATTTTATTGCACTATATGTATCTTTGAAAATGACGGCACATTCTTTTGCAATGAGGTAAGGTACAATTAAATACATACATAAACCAGATGTTGCTTGAAGACCCCTTAGAGACTTAGTTAAAATCAGTTCATCCCCAATCCAAGAACCTCAAAGTATCCCCAGGATTTCTACGCTCCTGTGGGCCATGTCAGTTCAGGTCCATCTATTCATTTTTTTTTACTCATGCTTTCAACAAGTATTTATTGACCACCTACTACCTCCTAGGCATTATTACAAGTGATAGCAACACACTAAGGACTTTAGTTTGGTGAAAACCAAAGGCAAGACAAGTTCCTGTCCTGGTGGCACTTATGTTCTAGTAGTTGGGATGCAGACACACAAGCAAACAAAAGTAAGAGAACAATGTGTGTGAAAAGATGGTTTCAGACAGCAAAAATTTGATGAAGAAAATGAAACAGGGTAGTGTGAGGTCTTGTGATATGGGGGTGAGGGGGTACTTAATTTCCCGGGGGGGGGGTGGGCAGGGAAGGCCTCCCTGAAAAGGTGACCACTGACTGGGACCTGAATGGCCGGTTGGTAGCCTGAAGATCTGAGGGAGGGGTTCTGGGCCAAGGGAGCCACCAGGGCCATGTCTGAGGCTGAGCTTGAGCTTGACCTGTGGCAGGAGACCCGGAGGCCATGCAGCAGGGTCAGCTACACTCGGGAGAGAAGGTCTGCGATGAGGGGGGAGCAAGGGCCAGATCATAAGGGCTGCATGGAAACCAAAAGAGAGAGATGAGTGTTTATTCTTTGTGGGGGTGTGAAGGGATTTGCTTTATGATTGTAAACCACCAGTGTTTCTGTGTTATGGAGAGAAGATGGTACGGAAGCCGGAGACCCTTTAGGGAGGCTCTTACAGTTGTCCAGGCCACTAGAACTGGGATGGGGAGTTAGACATGCAGGTGGGAGTAGGTGGGGGCAGGGTTGGTTTTGGTGATGCTGAGAGAGAAGCCAGCTGCCCGCCACAGTCCCCCACCTGCTCCCCTCTGATTTCTTTTTTTTTTTTTTAAGATTTTATTTATTTATTCATGAGAGACAGAGACAGAGAGAGAGTCAGAGGGAGAAGCAGGCTCCCAAGGAGCAGGAAGCCCGATGCGGGACTCGATCCCAGGACCCTGAGATCATGACCTGAGCCGAAGGCAGACGCTTAACCATCTGAGCCACCCAGGCGCCCCCCCCTCACTGATTTCTGCAAGAAATCCAATTGCACCAAGATTGTGAGTTTTGGAATATTACTTCAATCTGTGGGGCCAGAAGAAGGAGTTCACTCTGAGGAGCATGCAGCCATCTTTGATAGGGCCCTCCCACCCGCACCCCCCCACCCTCTGTCTCACTGCCCTTTTAAGGGTCCATGGTGCCCACCTGTGACCCTCCTCTTTATGCAGTCCCTCTAACATGTGCAATCCTGTCCCCACGGCCAGCTTCCTCAGAAGCAGCAAGTGCCTGGGCCTCCGTACCGGCTGAAGATTGTGGCGGACATATTAAATCACATGGAAACCCACCCGCATTCTACAGTCAATATTATTTACATGTGAGCTGACTTGTGGCTGGCTAGGTGATGGGCTGTTATGGTTTGCAGGCTTTTAACTAGATGCTCAGTTTTATTTTATGATTTACTTTTCCGTCGCCTGACGTGTTTTTTGGCAGGCCTCTAGCATTTGGTAGACCACTGCAAAGCTCGCATCCTCAGTGCCTGTGGTACTTGATGATTCACACGGCCGTGATCAGGCCTAGGGGTGCGGCTCAGGCTCACCAGCATTCTAACCAGTGACATGGTCTGTGTGTCACTACGTGCGCACATGGAAGTGCTGCCTGCTAGTGCGGCCGTGGGCAGGTTTCCCTGACATGCGCATGAGGGAAACACGTGTCTCCCCACACTCCCTCCTGCTCCCAGAGCCCTGAGCCGCTGTATACAGAAGTTAGGCCCCAAGAGTGCAGACAGGCCTTCCTCCCCCGCTTGCAGGTTCCTTTCCATCCCACACTTCTCCACTCCCTGCACCTTGGGCCCTGAAGGGTCAAGCCACAGCTCTAGGCAGCAGAAACTCTGGGCCCTGGGTTTCCCGTGGCTGACTCGGGGACCTGACATGCCCTCTACTGAGGATGCCGAGGCCAGAGACTGGAGCTGGGGGCAGGGGGTGTAGACCAGAAGGAGAACACCACTGGAAAGGATTCAGGACCACCGCATGCAGGCATACTGGGGCAGAGAGATGGGGATGAAGCTGGGAACAAGAGGGAGACAGTGGTGCGGGGAAAGAACACAATGGGGAAGCTGCTGGGAAGGTTGGGCCTGGGCTGGGCAGATCCCACCAAGGCGGCCTCATCTGCCTCTGCCCGGCAACCATACAGGTCGTCCTGCTTTATCCTCTCTGGCGTCGTCCCACGCCTGTCCTCCCACCTTCTTTTCCATTGCTATAGGTCCAGCACATCTTGGAGACGCAAGGCATCCTCCCTACGTGGGAGACTTTCGAAACTGAGACAGCGGATTGGGAAATTGAACACATTAGCTCCGAAGCCGCCCTGCTTGGGCTCAAGTCCCAGCTCTGTGTGTAATCACCTGTACACCCTGGGCGTATTTCTGAATGTGCCTGTGCCTCAGTTTCCTCACATGTAAAATGGGGTGGTAGTAGTTACTCCTTCACCAGATTGTTGGAAAGTTTCCCGCTAAATACCCAGCGTGTGATAAGGACTCCATAAGTGCTCAGCTGTTATTATTTGAAAGATGGTCGAAACAGGATCCCCAAATTGTGGTATATTTTAATGTTTACATTAACAACTTCTAATTCAAAACACACAGTAGCATATAACTGTGCTATTCACAGGTAATTAGAAGAGTTTGTTTGCTTGTTTTGTAATTAATTCATAGCACCTGAGCGGTAGTATTTGGTCTGATCACGGGACGTGGGTTTCGAGTTGAATGAGAAGCATCTGCATCCATGACTGTATATACGACCTCTTTGCAAACAATGCCAAAATTCTAAAGTGGAGCTCCTCCATGAATGTTTGTCTCTGGGCCAAATGCTTTCCGTGTCCTTTCCTAACCCCCATGCCCTCCCACGTTCATATCTGAAGATGACCAGAGCAGATCAAAGTGGGGAGTTGGAATAAAGTCCACTTCCTATCTCTCTGATTTCACAATTAAATTAACAGGGTCCTAGGCCTTTGACTCCATAATTGGGTGATTTATACATGTTTACATATATCAGATATATGTATGTAGCTTAAGATGCAATTGTACAAGGAGAAATAATGCCTCGCTAAAGCTCATTTGTCTTGGAAACAACTGAGGTCAGACCAGCGTTTAGGAGATGAAGGCCGGGAGGTCCTGGCCAAAGGCGAAGTGTGGGGAGGGCAGGCAAGCTCCCTGTCCCGCGCAGTTTTGTTTTAACTCATTTTGTTTGTACGCTCAGTAGAAGCTATGTGTAACACCAGCAAGGAGTGGGTGATTTTCAACCAAATGACACTTCATGGCTACAAACATGACCCTAAATTACGGCAGCCCATAATGCAGGAGCCTGAAGAGGGTAGCGAAGTTAATACTGCAGCATGATTTCCCCCTGGAAATACCAACGCTGTGCATGAAGGCTTTGTGGCTGCTACCCAGGGAATGTACCTTGCAGAACTTTAAAAACAGGAGCCTTGGCAGCTCTCCGGGAAGCTGAGATGAAAGTCTACCTAGAGTAGAGCAGACTGGCTGACCTTTCAAAGGCCCTTTTATCCTTGAGAGTCTATGGTTTTGATGTAGTGCTGAGTATTTTTCAACTTCCTATCAAGAAGAGGCAGTGAGTATATGAAAAGTAAAGTCTGGTTCTGCATTAATTCCCTCATGCATTTTTAAAAGGTTAAAAAATGGATAAACATTGTAGTCACTCAATAAATAATAATTCTAAGAAGATGGGAAATTTACATTTTTCTACGTTGCAAATCTAAGAGTTAAAAATTCCACGGGGCGCCCGGGTGTCTCAGTCGGTTAAGCGGCCGACTCTTGATTTCAGCTCAGGTCATGATCTCGGGGTCCTGCGATTGTCGGGTTCTGCACTCTGTGGGGAGTCTGCTTGAAGATTCTCTCTCTTCCTCTCCTTCCCCCACTCATACTCATTCACTCTCTCTCTCTCTCTCAAAATAAATAAATAATCTTTTTTAAAAAGCCTTAAAATTAAAAAAAAAGAAAAGTCTTATGAAGGCATGCTTGAGGGGCAGTGGGAGCAGGATACCATTTTTTAAAAATGGGAGACAAATCCTTGTGGCTTTGCCCATGAGAGGGACACAGCACATTTTTGTTGAGTGAATGAGTTATTGAGGAACACAGCTTTCCCTGTCTTAATATTAATTATTTTGGAGGAAATAAAGTCAATCAATAAGGACGACCACTTGAAAAAGTAGATGACATTTATTGAATGCACTTTACCTCAGTTACCCATTGCTACATAGCAAACCACGACAAAATGTAGTGGCTTAAAACAATATTTTATTGTTTCTTAGGGTTTTATGGGTTGACCAGGCTCTGTTGGGTGGTTCTTCTGGTCCACATGACATCTGCTGGGACTGGAATGTCCAAGATGGCTATCTGGAGCCTCAGTTGGAACAGCTAAGGTTTGACGGGGCTCCTGTCTCTCTCTCTCTCTTTTTCCAGGGGTTCTCTGCAATTGAATAGGCTAACTTCTTTATATGATGGCTCAGGGCTCCAAGAGCAAATGTCTCAACAGGACAAACCCCTATGTGCAAGCACTTGTTAGGACTCTGCTTCTTGCAAGTATCTCATTGGCCAAAGCAAGGCCAGAGTCAGTGTGGAAGGGCACTACATACAGGCTAAATCCCGGGGGGGGGGGGGGCGGGCATGGTTCATTTGGGGCTACCAGTGTGACAATCAACTGTACAACCCATGTGTCACTCCTGTGTTAGACATTTTACATAAATCTTTCCTCTTTAAAAGTTAAAACAACCCTGGAAAGTGGATACTACTTATAATTTTTATTCTAAGATGAGAAAACCAAGGCACAAAGAGGTTGTTGACTTTAGTGCCCACAGTCACACTGGTAAGAAGTAACAGAGGCGGCACTGAATTCAAGCCATCTAACCCTCGAGCCTGAACTCACAAGTCTGAAGGCACAAGCACAAGGATAGAAAATGATCGACTTCGAAAGTAAATAATATCTCAGAAATATTTAGGTAATCTTTGATTTAAAAGTTTACACACTCAAAAGCATTTATAAGAATTGTATCCTCCTCTTTCTATCAGAGGTCATATACATCTTACCTCCTAAAAGAATTGTGAACCAAGCAAAGCAAGAACACTAGCTTGATGAGTTCCGCTGACCTAAGTTAGAATTTTTTTCTTATTTATTGAGTCACTTGCTGACTTGATTTCCTCAATTATAAAATGGGAATGGGAATAGGTAGGGCTGTGGTGAGGATAAAATGAAGTAATATAGTGAGCATAGAGTGTCTGGAATGTTCTTAATGCATAGAAGGTGCTCATGCCCATGTGTGTAAGTTGGCATACTGGACAGAGCTGAATTTGGTAGGACATGTGGGGAGCAGATTTGGGGGGATTCCTGGTCTACATGAGCTCACTGGAAAATGATTAGAGCAGTGAATTTTAACCATAGCATAAGCTGTTATGCCTGCCCACAGCTGGGAAGCATGGACCAGAACAGGGTGGGAGAAATTATGGGGCTGAAACACTCCACCCTAGGAACAAGAGAAAAATAGACACCGCAATCCCTGCAAGACTCATGGCTGGTATCCTCACAGAACTAGTTGAAGTAACCCAACCCAACTTGACCAGGGTCTATTTAATCCGTGCAAATGTAATCCAGGTCTACGAATCTTTTAGGGCATCCCCCAAATTTGGAGAGTTATGTACTAGCCCAATAAAGATCAATTATCTAGTCCTGGTCACTTTCCAGTACAGAAAACTATTTTGACTCTCGTGAAGTTGTGAAAAAGAGAGAAAAGAAAAAACAATCCATCGTGGGTAACTTTCCAAACCTTAGTTTCCATTGTCTGGTTATGCCAACAGCTGTCTGCTGGTTTGGAGGCAATTTACAGCTGGAAGAAACAAGACTCCACATTTCTTCCTCTGGGGTTTGAATGATGGCTTTTTCCATGGTATTATGGTCACAGTTCTATACATGAGTTATGGCAGCTTTAAATTACAGCCACAGTGTTATGGGAAAAAGGATAAATCCCTCACTGCTTTCTTTTATCTCCAAAGCAGTTGGGAAATGGGGAGGAGGCCCCTTACCCCAGAGGAATAAATCGGTGGTGGGGGTATGTCTGTGTCAGACAAGGCAGATGGTAGCAGGCTTTGCTGAAATGCTCTCAAATGCTAACGTGTTATTATACAAATCTCTCTTCCCCAGATGCAGGCGGAAGGACAAAGTGAAAGAGGATGAGTGAGAGGAGAACAGGGCAAAGCCTTTTACAGTCTGCTCCTTTCCCTTAGGTCACCAGGAGCACATGGCCCAGACGGGGCTCTCCAAGCCCTCGAGGAC